GGTCACCAGCACGGCCGGCTCCTGGCGAGGTGGTTGCCCGCCCTGCTCACTTAGGGTGAGCTGCTGCCGCCCTGGCCCTCAGCACCCCTGAGGCCTGTGCCCAGCTGCCCCTGCCCTCCGCTGCCCCCTCCTGTGCCCGCTGCCCCCGCATCGACGCCAGAAGCCTAAGTCTGGTGATGTAAATGTGAGAGGGAAAGCTGATTTCAAGCAGAGAATGTGAGCGATCTTAGCCCCAGCGGTAAGGCCTGTTAAGTGATGGAGGCAGCCAGTTCCCCTCAGGGACGTGGAGCAGGCAGCTGCTCAGGGAGGTTTCTGCTGGGCGTGAGGGAAGGAAGGGGTCGTGCCTTACCCCATCTCCCCATAGTCGGGGGAGTTCCACACCTCCTTCTGGGTGGCTGTTCATGGCTCAAAGTTCGGCAGGACCAGAAAATTTGTGATCAGGTACTTTGAAAGTCCGTAGTTGCTAGGGTTTCTGTCCTGGAAATGCCATGGGAAATGTGAGCTCTCTGATACTTCTGCCTATGCCACTGGTGCTGATCTGTGGCTTGCTAATACTCCAGTGTATTAGTATCTTGCCTTAAAATTAGGAGGTTAAAAGAGCAATAAATTTGCTGCTTTGTGCCATTTTTTAAAAGGGTGAGCAATATGACCCAAATGACTAGTTAGCTTAATAGCTATCCTAACCAAAATAGAAAATCTGATGTAGAATTCAAATAATAAAAAGTTGAAATGAAGGAATATAATACATGCCTACACAGTGTTTTAGTAAAAATAGCTATTAATAAATATTAATTGAGGTACTTGACTCACTTCATGCTGTATGATATTCTCATTAATATCAGATGCATGCAGTGCCAATAATCCATGCAGATGGAATTCTCTGCCAGCTGTCAAGAAGATGAACCCTGTAGGAGAACCTAGTTGAAAGAGATGGTGTCTAAAGAGGTTCCAGTTGTAGGTTCTATGTTGTACTACATGCTGAGCAATGATCTGGAAGCAGATCTAAGCCTGCTGCTGCAAAAATTCAGCTCCTGGGCTGCGTCAAGAGAAGCATGTCCAGCAGGTCGAGGGAGGTGATTCTGCCCCTTTACTCTGCTCTGGTGAGACCTCACCTGGAGTACTGTGTCCAGCTCTGGAGCCCTCAGCACAAGAAGGACATGGAACTGTTGAAGCAGGTCCAGAGGAGGGCTACTAAAATGATCCGAGGGCTGGTGCACCTCTCTTGTGAGGACAGGCTTGTTCAGCCTGGAGAAGAGAAGGCTGCGGGGAGACCTGATTGCAGCCTTTCAGTACTTAAAGGGGGCCTATTGGAAAGATGGGAAAATCTTTTTAGCAGGGACAGCTGTGACAAGACAAGGGGTGATGGTTTTAAACTGAAGCAGGGTAGATTTAGACTGGATATAAGGAAGAAATTCTGTACAATGAGGGTGGTGAAACACTGGAATGGGTTGCCCAGAGAGGCAGTGGAGGTCCCATCCCTGGAAACATTCAAGACCAGGTTGGACGGGCCTCTGAGCAGCCTGATCTGGTTAGCAGTGTCCCTGCTCACTGCAGGGGGGTTGGGCTAGATGACCTCTAGGGGTCCCTTCCAACCCAAAACATTCTATGATTCTGTGATTTAATGGAGTCATAAATAATGATGAGGATGGGGCACTGTGATCATCTGGCTGGCAAACTTAGTGAATTTTAATCCAGCCAGCTGTAACATTGTCTGTCTTAATAAACAAGTGTGGAGGCTGTAACTGGAGAGTAGAAGACTATAGCCTGGGAAAGTAATGACTTTGAGAAGAATTTAAGGGTCAGAATAAGTAAGCAATCAGGTAAGGGCTCTCCTGTATCCTGCTACAGCAGAAAAGGATTAATCAATGTATAAACAAAGGAATAAAAAAATGTTTATTTTACCTCTCATGTTTGGCCTCAACAATGCCATCCACAGGATAGTGCATGCAGTTCTGGTTTTCAGATTTTACAAAGCACATTGGAAAATAAGAGAAAGCAAAAGCGTGAAGCAAAATGTCCTGGTGGTTGGAGAAAATGCATTACGCTGGGAGCTTTTAAGAACTCAGGCTGTTAAAAGTTATCTAAAAGAGGATTGGGAGGTGGCTTGATTGTAGTGTATAGGAACATTCTTGGGGGGAAAATACAGGATATTAAAGGGCTCTTTAATCTATTGAAGAAAGGCATAATAAGAAGTAATGGCTGGAGGCAAAAGCCAGACAGATTCAAATAGGAAATAAGACACACATTTTTACATGATTAACCACCAGAACTCATTCCCAAGAGAAGCTGAAGATTTTCCATCGTTTTATGTCTTCTATTGAAGATGATGCATTTCTGAAAATTATTTTTTAGCCGAGTGGAAGTTATGCTTTAGTTTATTGGATGAATACGGGTTGAAACCTGATGGTCCGTGATACACATAGTGTCAGGTTAATCTAGTGGGACCATCATGGTTTAAATTTTAAACGCCAGAAGCAGACATTTCGTTAATAACCATGAGCATTAGAATCAATTTTTTTTGCCTTGAAATACTTATGCTCCATAAAAAAGCTGATCTGAATTAAGCTTTTGGCTGCAGAATATACTTACTAAGACAATATCTAAAGGTTTTGGCCTTTTGCTTCCTAAATTTACACTCTTGGGATTACTTGGAAAAATTTCTCTGCATTTTCATTTAAATTTCTGAAGGAATAGATTCTTGCAAGAAAATTCATTTGGTGCATTATGATTCTCTTGGCCTTGAGGCAATTTTACATAATTGATGTTCACGTTGTGAAATATTTCTTGGAGGATTATTATCCAGAGTGCTCAGGTAAGAATGCACCAAATGAATCCTGATAGATTTCCTATATTGTACGTTATATATATTTGTATGTTGCATATGTTTGCATTGCACAGTTTTAACTCACTTGAGGGATTATCATAATATAAACAATTATATTACCAATGGAGTAGCTGCTATTACTGAAAGAGGGATGAATGAAATATAAATAAGACTTCAGCAGTTTGGCAGAGAAACGTGAAAAAACCACCCCTGAAATGGTACATGGTGAATTTTTTTATCTCGAGAATGGAAGGTATGCTGTCATTTCTCTGCCTTCTGAGAAATGTGTGATGCTAATCCTGCAAGATATATGTGCTTCCTAATTTACATGCTTCCCTGGCTCTTGAGCAGAAAATGCAAAGACAGGAGCTGAAAAACAAGCTGCCGCCTTCTTTTGTGCATTTTCCCAGACTCAAGCCACAAACAATCTCCCCTTAAACACAGAAGAAACTGAAATCTGTTCATTAACTTGATGATGAATTCTGGAATGAGATCTGAATAACTGTACCGGGGAAAAAAATTGCAGTGATTACAAAGGATAAAGTGAGACTTGTCTTTATGGTATGCAGTTGGTAACTTAAAAAAGCAGAAAGTGTTTGTGTGTGTGGTTGAAACTTGTTTACTTTGACTTTGAAGTGTTAGTGTGAAAATTGCATGACATTAATACTGAAGTAGCTTTTAAACTACCTTTGCACATTTAAAGTAATGATGGCAGTGGGCACTCCAAGAGGAGTGTGGAGTGCACCCTGTAACTGAACTTTTCCAGAAGATGTGTTTCTTTGTACTATCTGCAATCGATGGCTCCAAAGCCATTCTGAATATATTTTCAGCTTACCACACAAGTGCCATCCGAGCATGACACCCGTAACATGTGCATTTTCAAGGATGCCTGGCAAACCAGAGTACTCGCAGCCACGTTCCCACAGGCTGCAAGTATTTGACAAGACAGCTGTGGGAATCGATGTTAAATGAGGTGCAGAATACATCATGCTCATGGCTGCTGCTGTGACCACCCTGTCCAAGTCATAGGAGCAGAACCAGGAGCTCTTTTTTGAAGCAGAACACTTTGCATCCATTTGGATGACTACTGGATACCGAATGTATTTGAGGTACTGGTTCCACCTTGTAAAGCTTTGAATAACTGGGAGACCGGTTCATCTGAGTCATCAGCAGCCAGTTGTTTTTCTCTCCTATATAACCAAAGGAGCAGGTGGCAGGAC